TAGCCCAAGTTGATTACATTACGTTTTTAGTGTTTTATTTTTTTAGGGTATTCTCGCGGATTTTGGGTTGGACAATCTTGCTAGGATTTGGCAACCTATGGGAGCCGTGTGCTTCGATGTGAGTGGTTGAAAGCAGACTTCATTCAAGATAACGGACAAGTGGTCTATCCAATCACATACAAGGATTTTTTTTACAAGGCCCTGCCTTCTGAAATCCAACCACTATGGCTCAGTACTAGCCTGGCCATAGCCATCTGTACACTCCGCTCAATGATCATTTCACTGCATGTAACCGTCTGGGTCTGGTCCCTGTGTTAGCGAATACAATCGGTCGTATTTCGACCGGCTACTCTGAGAGCGCGGAAGGCGGGTGTTGTAGGTCGGTGCCGGTGACGTCAAGAGTTTGCGCCGAACGGGTAGGTTGTAGTTTGGCAATGGCGAAGAATGCGATTGTAAAGTAATCCGGTCTGGTTCTGTCAAGAAAATGAAGCCGGAGCAAGAGGAATGTTTAGCAAATGTAAACGCTGGTCAAAATTGTGGCGCTACTCCCCACGGGCTCCGTTAGTGGCAAAAGAGTTGGCTAGGCTAAATGCTAAATGCTAACAAAAGACTCGGGCGCATTATATACGTCACGGTAAACTCAGATCCAATCGGAAACGTCGGGAAAACTTGCCAAGAAGTACAGATGATGGGTGAGAAACCTTCCTTTGCTCAGATCCAATTGTTTCAATCTGCAACAGGAGGTAGCCCCTCCCACCTGTTCACGGAGCCCAATGGAGCAAATCCAGACCTTAGTATGAAATGTAATTTGTACTAAGGTGTGGTACAACCAGGCTAGCTCAGTACCAGACTCATGTGTGAAGTGCAGCGAACTACATGGGTCTGGCGAGAGTCAGGCTACCTAAGCAAGGCCTATGTTCAACATAATTAATTGTTTATTTTCATTATTTTTTGCACGAAAAGCACTCTCTGTTTAGCTTCAAGTTTACATTGGTTACTGTATTCTTTCACAGTGTTGTGCGTGAACAAAAGAACGCAACACGTTCATTGAGTACGCTAGGGCTGCAACTAACGATTATTTTGATAATCGATTAATCAGGCGATTATTTTTACGACTAATCGATTATTTATTATTATTATTATTTAACATTTATTAAGAGGAATAACCCCTTGAGATGAAACATCTCGTTTCCGAGGGGGTCCTCAAAAACAGATTCAAAAATAACAGTACAGCAGCAACAGTATAAAAATTTTATTTTTTGTCAAGAATCAACAACAAGTGGGACACAATCGTGAAGTGGAACGAAATTTATGGGATTTTGTTGTTTAACTTTTTTAACAAATGAAAAACTGAAAAGTGGGGCGTGCAATATTCGGCCCCCTTGCGCTAATACTTTGAAGCGCCACCTTTTGCAGCAATTACAGCTGCAAGTCGCTTGGGATATGTCTCTATCAGTTTTGCACATCGAGAGACTGTAATTCTTGCCCATTCTTCCTTGCAAAACAGCTCGAGCTCAGTGAGGTTGGATGGAGAGCGTTTGTGAACAGCAGTCTTCAGCTCTTTCCACAGATTCTTGATTGGATTCAGGTCTGGACTTTGACTTGGCCATTCTAACACCTGGATACGTCTATTTGTGAACCATTCCATTGTAGATTTGGCTTAATGTTTTGGATCATTGTCCTGTTGGAAGATAAATCTCCGTCCCAGTCTCAGGTCTTTTGCAGACTCCAACAGGTTTTCTTCCGGAATGGTCCTGTATTTGGCTCCATCCATCTTCCCATCAATTTTAGCCATCTTCCCTGTCCCTGCTGAAGAAAAGCAGGCCCAAACCATGATGCTGCCACCACAATGTTTGACAGTGGGGATGGTGTGTTCAGGGTGATGAGCTGTGTTGCTTTTACGCCAAACATATCGTTTTGCATTGTGGCCAAAATGTTTGATTTTGGTTTCATCTGACCAGAGCACCTTCTTCCACATGTTTGGTGTGTCTCCCAGGTGGCTTGTGGCAAACTTTAAACGAGACTTTTTATGGATATCTTTGAGAAATGGCCACTTCTGGCCACTTCTTGCCACTTCCATAAAGGCCAGATTTGTGCAGTGCACGACTGATTGTTGTCCTATGGACAGACTCTCCCACCGCAGCTGTAGTTATCTGCAGTTCATCCAGAGTGATCATGGGCCTCTTGGCTGCATCTCTGATCAGTCTTCTCCTGTTTGAGAGGAAAGTTTGGAAGAACGGCCGGGTCTTGGTAGATTTGCAGTGGTCTGATACTCCTTCCATTTCAATATAATTGCTTGCACAGTGCTCCTTGAGATGTTTAAAGCTTGGGAAATCTTTTTGTATACAAATCTGGCTTTAAACTTCTCCAACAGTATCTCGGACCTGCCTGGTGTGTTCCTTTGTCTTCATGGTTCTCTCTGCGCGTTAAACAGAACCCTGAGACTATCCAAGAGCAGGTGCATTTATACGGAGACTTGTTACACACAGGTGCATTCTATTTATCATCATCAGTCATTTAGGACAACATTGGATCATTCAAAGATCCTCACTGAACTTCTGGAGTGAGTTTGCTGCACCGAAAGTAAAGGGGCCGAATAATATTGCACGCCCCACTTTTCAATTTTTTATTTGTGAAAAAAGTTTAAATTATCCAATAAATTTCGTTCCACTTCACGATTGTGTCCCACTTGTTGTTGATTCATGACAAAAAAATTAAATTTTATATCTTTATGTTTGAAGCCTGAAATCTGGCTCAAGGGGGCAAATACAGTGCCTTGCGAAAGTATTCGCAAGGCACTGTATGTACATTTCTGGCCAAAAGTGGTACTGCAGTCAGTCAATATTTTGTAGTCCTCTCCCACTCTCACAAGGAATTATTTTATCAGTTTGTCTGTCTCCATTCAAATTGCCATGATAGCCGTGCTAATGTTGAATTAATGTTTTTTTTTTTTTTTTTTTGGATTTTTGAGATAAAAAAATAAAAGCAATGTAATTATACATTGATTATGCAAAATAAATAAGCAATTGATGTCCAAAATAGGAGTGGGAAGAATGGATGTTGGAGCATATTTCTGCTCCTTGAAAAATTTTGGCTGCTCCTTATAAAAGGAGCAGCCATTCCTAAAGTCAGTAACACCTTAAAAATCTGACAGGTCTGCGTGGCCCCCAAATAATAACCAAGAAGACAACGTTAAAAATAGGCTGTTCTCGTTATTTTATTTTGGGGAAATAGCCTCCGCTACAAACATGTAAATGACGCACCCTGTTTTGTAATACAAAAATGATTAGTTTGATTATTCAAGTCAAATAATTAACACAAATATTTTAATATTGCAAACAAAACATTATTAATTTGCCATACAATGATACATATATATATATATATATATATATATATATAATTTTTATGACCTCTCATCAAAAAAAGGGTACTGCAGGGGGTCCGCGGACCACACTTTGGGAAACACTGCTCCAGAGGATATCACCCTTCAATCTTTTTTATTCCCTATTTTTAAGACATACATGTATTCAAGTCCCACATCAAAAAGAGACTAACATTATTATAATTGGGGTACATGTGGTCTCAAACGATTCCTATTACAATTAAGATTTAATCTGCAAATAACTGCTCAAGAACGGTAAAAGGTAAAAACAAGCAATCTTGCATACAATATTATACAGTTTAATCCAAAACACATCTCACCCGGAATCGAAATTGGGTCGCTGCGGTGAAAGCGCTATGATTTAACCATTAGACCACCATTGCATACAATGGACAACAGATTCCAGGCAGGTACTTCAATTGTCAATGAACACACTCAACGTGGCAAGTTTTGCATCACACGAACGGTTTTTATCCACCTTCAATTGTCTCAATTTTTCTAAGACATCCCGATTTAAATCCTAGTTATTGTCTTTGTTTTGTCAATAATGGTTTGAGAATCATAACACTTCCTTTTTTTAGTTCTGCGGCCACATGTTATTTTACCAGTGAGATTAGCTAGCGGGGAGCCCAGATCACGAACTTCCTGACTGGTGAAACGGTGGAGGGTGGGACATCGAAATGAAAACAACTTTTACGGGTTGTAAAACTGATTTTGATATTCAAATATCTCGGCTGAACTACTGTTATCAGTTAAAGATGTATTCGAAAAGAGCATGATTTAATAATGCCTTTTGAAATATTGGGGCCATTTAATGATGACTTGACATGCATCCATCCATCCATTTTCTACCCCTTAATCCATTTCTTAAGCCTTAATTATTCAGCAGAGGCTTCTGGCAAAGTGGGGTTAAGTGTCTTGCCCAAGGACACAACAACAGAAGACATCAGTGAGAGTCGGTGAAGGTCTCATGGTGGGCTCGAACCCACAACCTTCAGGCTCAAAGGCCAATGCTCCACCAACTGAGCCACAAATGCAAATATTACATATTGATACTTTAAACACTTATTTGTTCATTATTATTTATTTAGTTGAGATGGTGTGCGTTACTGAACACACAACTCTGGATTGTAACTTTGGGCTGATTTTCAGCCCTTGTCCATCAAACACACACTCATTCAAGGTAAGGGTTACCTACGCAGACACGGGGAGAACATGCAAACTCGACTCAGAAAGGTTATCTGAAAAGTCACGTTGCGATATTACATTAGCATTGCACATTCTTCCTGTCATTCAATTCATTTTTGTATGGCCCTAAATTGCAACAGCAGTCCGAGACCATGAAACATGGGAAAGCGGGAGCGGGACGACCAATTTCCGTAAATGTTAATAAATGTGCATAATGTCCTTAACTGTTCTTAGACCCTGTATCGGCAACTAAAAAAAAACAGTGGGGAGAGGAAATCGCTTACATGGACGGACATGTTATAGATGGAGGACTCGGGCTATAGATCTGGCTGCTGTTTAGTCAAAAACTAAACTAAATTTTGTGTAAGTCCAATAAACTTCTCATATGTTTCTAGTCTGATTTGATTTTGTTTTTGTATCTCTGCAGATAACTCCGCCTCCATCGTTACCAGAACAACTGAAAGAGATGTTCAAACAGCAGGAGGTGGTGCGCATGAAGCTCCGCCTGCAGCACAGCATAGAAAGGGTAAGGACAGACATGGCCTAACAAGTTTATTTGTAAAACAGACAAATGGGGCAATTCAAAAATGGGTTGAAAATGGAGCAGTATTTGTGGTGTTTGACCGTTGTATGTTATTCTTATAGGAAAAGCTGATAGTTTCAAATGAGCAGGAAGTCCTCAGAGTCCACTACCGAGCGGCACGGACACTGGCCAATCAGACGCTCCCGTTTAGCGCCTGCACAGTCCTATTGGACGCCGAGGTTTACAACATGCCCCAAGATGTCCAGGTTTGTGCAAATGTCAGTAACTTTACTAAACGGCATTATTTAACTTCTAATGCTAAATATGAGACTAATGCGTGATGTTTTTGTCAGAGTGACGATGGAAAGACATCTGTAAGAGACAGATTCAATGCTCGGCAGTTCATGTCGTGGCTGCAGGACGTGGACGACAAGTTTGATAAACTGAAGGTACAAAATTCCACTGTTTTAATATAGTGATTTATTTTGTTGCTTCTTGTGCAGACATGTTTCTTGGACATATGGGTGTGGTCTGTTGTTTTTATAGGTTGAACTTACCAACACAATCATTCAATGGCCCAACTCAAAAGTTCTTTACAAAGACGACGTTTAATTTTTTTATTTATTTAGTTGGCAGGGACATTGCACAATACATTTGTATATACTTGTGCAGACTGGATACTGGGCACGTTTGCAGTGTGCAAAGAATATATAAACAAATGTCCTAACTTGTATTTAAATTACACCCTTAACCAGAAGACACAATATATACAACACACACATTTTTATCTGCTTAATGACACTTGCACATTATCTTTGAGCATGTCTTTAGGCTGAGTTTAAACTGTCCTAGTGATCTCCACTACCGCACAGATATCCAGGTCTCTGCAGCTTTAACAGAGAAGCAGTTCTGTCCAAATGAGTTATGTCCGTGGCTGTTACAGTGGGGCAACAATGTATTTAGTCAGCCACCGATTGTGCAAGTTCTCCCACTTAAAATAATGACAGAGGTCTGTAATTTTCATCATAGGTACACTTCAACTGTGAGAGACAGAATGTGAAAAGAATATCCAAGAATTCACATTGTAGGATTTTTAAAGAATTTATTTGTAAATTATGGTGGAAAATAAGTATTTGGTCAATAACAAAAATTCAACTCAATACTTCGTAATATAAGCTTTGTTGGCAATAACAAAGGTCAAACGATTACTATAGGTCTTTACCAGGTTTGCACACACAGTAGCTGGTATTTTGGCTCATTCCTCCATGCAGATCTTCTCGAGAGCAGTGATGTTTTGGGGCTGTCGCTGAGCAACACGGACTTTTAACTCCCTCCATAGATTTTCAATGGGGTTGAGGTCTGGAGACTGGCCCCATTCATTCTTTCCTTAACACGGATCAGTCGTTCTGTCCCCTTAGCAGAAAAACAGCCCCAAAGCAAGACATTTCCACCCCCATGCTTCACAGTAGGTATGGTGTTCTTGGGATGCAACTTGGGAAGAATGTATTCTTCTTCCTCCAAACACGACGAGTTGAGTTTATACCAAACAGTTCTACTTTGGTTTCATCTGACCACATGACATTCTCCCAATCCTCTGCTGTATCATCCATGTGCTCTCTGGCAAACTTCAGACGGACCTGGACATGCACTGGCTTCAGCAGGGGGACACGTCTGGCACTGCAGGATTTCATTCTGTCGTCGTAGTGTGTTACTGATGGTAACCTTTGTTACTTTGGTCCCAGCTCTCTGCAGGTCATTCACCAAGTCCCCCCGTGTGGTTCTGGGATTTTTGATCACCGTTGTCATGATCATTTTGATCCCACGGAATGAGATCTTGCTTGGAGCCACAGATCGAGGGAGATTATCAGTGGTCTTGTATGTCTTCCATTTTCTGATAATTGCTCCCACAGTTGATTTGTTCACACCAAGCTGCTTGCCTATTGTAGATTCACTCTTCCCAGTCTGGTGCAGGTCTACAATTATTTTCCTGGTGTCCTTCGACAGCTCTTTGGTCTTGGCCATAGTGGAGTTTGGAGTGAGGCTGTGGACAGGTGTCTTTTATACAGATGAGTTCAAACAGGTGCCATTAATACAGGTAACAAGTGGAGGACAGAAGAGCTTCTTAAAGAAGAAGTTACAGGTCTGTGAGAGCCAGAGATCTTCCTTGTTTGAAGTGACCAAATACATATTTTCCACCATAATTTACAAATATATTCTTTAAAAATCCTACAATGTGAATTCCTGGATTTTTTTTTCACATTCTGTCTCTCACAGTTGAAGTGTACCTATGATGAAAATTTCAGACCTCTGTCATTATTTTAAGTGGGAGAACTTGCACAATCGGTGGCTGACTAAATACTTTTTTGCCCCACTGTATGTCCACGGACATAACAGCCTGTATTTTGTCTCTTCCCTTTTTCATTATATAGGTTGTGTTCTTGTGACATTGCAGCATTCCATAGAGCCTATATTTTAAATTTGCCGTTGATAACAATGGTAATAATCTTGATTTATAGCTAATCTGCCTGTAATGCTTGGGCCGTGCCACATAGATACTTTAATGATCCCCATAGGAGAAATTCAGGTGTCAAGTAGCAGCAAAAACACGTCCATCCACACAAACAAAACAAATAAATTGATCATTATTATAAAAAGCTAACCATAGTAATAATAAGAAATAGCACTTCAGATCACAGCAGCACATGATGCAAACACTGTCAAACTGTTCCACATCTTTGTCAGTGTAAATCAACTATGGTCTAATTATTTTCTCATAAAGGTGTCTAGAAGTGGTGACAATATTCAAAAATAATAAATTAGAAAGGGTTTTCAGTATTTATCAGTTTAATGCACAGTATAATCTCCATATCAACATGTTCTATGTATGACCTCTCCTCTTTCAGACGTGTTTACTAATGCGGCAGCAGCACGAGGCTGCTGCTCTGAACGCTGTGCAGAGACTAGAGTGGCAGCTCAAACTGCAGGAGCTCGATCCGGCTATGTACAAGTCCACCAGCATCTTTGAGATTCCAGAGTTCTACATCCCTCTGGTGGAGGTGAACGATGACTTCGACCTGACGCCCATCTGAAGGTAAAACTCTGAGCAGCTACCCATGCAACCATCTGTCCTTCATTTACAGACTTACTAGATTAAAACATGTTCAAATATGATTCTAGCTCTTTGACCTCAAGCCATTTTTTATGATTTTGCTGATTTTCTCAGAATATTGTGTGCTATGGGGGCGACAGTGGCTCAGTTGGAGCATTGGCCTTAGAGCCTGAAGGTCGTGGGTTCGAGCCCACCACAAGACCTACTTCACGATTCCCACTGACGACTGCTGTCGTTGTGTCCTTGGGCAAGACACTTAACCCCACTTCGCCAGAAGCCCCTGCTGAATAATCAAGGCTCCGCAAGGGTCTGGGGGGTCCCCGCCCCCGACCAGAAATGGATTAAGGGGAAGAAAATGGATGGATGGATGGATTGTGTGCTATGACTGTGAAATATTGAAACCAGATTCTGTCTACTCTCAGCAGCAAAAATACTTTTTTTTCTAGCTTGCTTCGTTCTCCTGTAATCGCCAGTCGAAGAGTGTGAAAGAAATCACTATTCTTTGACAAAATACTTATAAAATAAGCTGTTTGTGAAAACAGACGCACCATGCAAAAAAGTTATTGTAACACTATTTAGTTAAACTTTAGTGTCTCCTCAAACATGTCCACTATCTTACTAGAAAGCAGCAACAAGTTATGAGAGTGTTTTTGATGCAAAATAGGTTTTATTTCACCCCAAGTGTTGAATATTTCAAAACGTTAATCAAAATTTGCATATTGAAAGTAGAGCCCATGACAGACTATGCCAGAAAGAATGGCCTGTATTCATTCATTCATTAGGTGGCGCTATATTTATGTCAAAAATAGAAAGTCACAGAATAACAAAATTACAATGATAACCACTATAAATGACAATAAACTAAAATGAACAGACTATATACCTATAGTATAAGTGCAATAGAATACCGTTGTCTTTGTGAGTGTCATTCTGTTTAGTGCAGCAAACACTGACGATAAGCGTTTGTTTGTCACTGGCTCCTGGTGCAGGCTCAGTGTTAGTATTAGCAATAGTCCCCTTTTCTCTCCACTTTTTTTGGGGTGCACCGCTGGTCTGCTGCCCTGACCCTCCACATGGTCTCTGTCATTTACTGCTCAAACTACCTCCAAACCTGCCCCCTGGCTGTATTCCTCCTGCTTCCATCTACTCTCTGCACACAGCGCTCAGACAGTAACCTTTGAACAAGACACCCACAGAGCACTGCTGCCTGCTGTCTCAATAAAACAGTCTAGTCTTGAGCTAAACCCCATACATATATGATACAGGGGACACAGACGGAGAGGAAAATAGTGTAAAAGTATTTATTTTTCAATTGACTGATTAATCAATGTCTCTGTGTTCCTCTGAGTCCCAGCAGGAGGCCAGTGCTTGTGCTCCTCAGAATCAGAGTTGGTTCATATGGCACTAACATGTCACGGACCTGAGAAATGGACTAGTACTAGCATTACATTTATTTCCCACCTTTGCAATGTGTTTTTGTGTTATAGATAAGTAATCAATAAAATAACTTTTTAATATCAACGCCGCTGATTGGTCAGAAACATGACCTACTTGTAGGGGTCGCAGCTCCCGCTTTTACTGTTTATGGCATTGCTCCTGCTGCCGCTTTGAGACAGACAAACCTTAAAATGGGTGTATTTTGTACGACCCCAGGATGCAGCAATGAAAGTTACCAAAAGAGTGTAAACAGCAGTCCCTACAATCTTTGACTTATTCAGAAAAGGCGACAGTCCAAACAAACAGAGAAGACACCAGCGCCAGTTCCATGAAATTAGTTTTACCAAGCTCCAAGTTTACGAGTTTCAACCCAGTATTCAGCAGAAAACACAACTGTCATTGAACCATGAATTCATGATTCACTCTAACTCCATCCATCCATCCATTTTCTTCCGCTTTATCCGTTGCCGGGTCGCGGGGGCAGCAGTCTAAGCAGAGACGCCCAGACTTCCCTATCCACACACACCTCCTCCAGCTCGTCCGGGGGGACCCCAAGGCGTTCCCAGGCCAGCTGAGAGACCTAGTCTCTCCAGCGTGTCCTGGGTCTTCCCCGGGGCCTCCTCCCGGTGGGACGTGCCCGGAACACCTCCCCAGGAAGGCGTCCAGGAGGCATCCTGAACAGATGCCCGAGCCACCTCAACTGGTTCCTCTCGACGTGGAGAAGCAGCGGCTCTACTCCGAGCTCTTCCCGTGTGACTGAGCTCCTCACCCTATCTCTAAGTGAGCGCCCAGCCACTCTGCGGAGGAAGCTCATTTCGACCGCTTGTATCCGCAATCTCGTTCTTTCGGTCATTACCCACAGCTCATGACCATAGGTGAGGGAGGGAACGAAGATTGACCGGTAAATTGAGAGCTTTGCCTTTCGGCTCAGCTCCCTCTTTACCACAACGGTCCGATACAGAGACCGCATCACTGCGCACGCTGCACCGATCCGCCTGTCAATCTCACGCTCCATTCTTCCCTCACTCGTGAACAAGACCCCGAGATACTTGAACTCCTCCACTTGAGGAAGGACCTCTCCACCCACCTGAAGAGGGCAAGGCACCTTTTTCCGGTCGAGCACCATGGCCTCGGATTTGGAGGTGCTGATTCTCATCCCAACCGCTTCACACTCGGCTGCAAACCGTCCCAGTGCATGTTGCAGGTCCTGGTTCGTTGGAGCCAGCAGGACGACATCATCATTCACTCTAACTACGTTTAGTAAAAGACGTATGGTGCTTTCAGACCGGCAACGCTGAAACGCACGTTCTCTAGTTTTCAGACGCAGGGGTCTTCAAACCAGAGGTCCTGGCGCGCGCCGGAAGTAGCCTGATGCTAACAGTTTTAGCTAGCGGCTTCTTGTGTACAGATCTTCTCCAATACTGCAACAATTTTATATAACAGTTATCCAATCCAGTCCAGTTTATTTATAAAGCACTAATAAAAACAACATGGTTGACCAAAGTGCTGTACATAAAAAGACATACACAAATATACATTTAAAAAATACAAAACAGTGGCAAAAAAACAAACACTATTTACAGCAAAAAATCAATTGAAATCAATTAAAAGCCAATGAGAACAAGTGTGTCTTAAGACGAGACTTAAAAACAGGAACTGACTCAGACAGTCTCACACCCAGGGGCAGCTCATTCCATAGTTTAGGACCAACAACCGAAAAAGCTCGATCTCTGAGTTTCCGTTTAGTCGGAGGAACCCAGAGCAGAGCCTGATCTGCCGACCTAAGCGAACGTGATGGAGCATAGGACGTCAGTAGGTCAGACAGATAGCGCGGAGCAAGGCCATTCAGGCATTTATATACAAACAGAAGAATCCGGCAGCGAACAGGAAGCCAATGAAGTGATGACAGGACCGGAGAGATGGTCAAACTTCCGAGTTCCTGTTAACAGACGCGCCGCAGCGTTCTGTACCAGCTGCAGACGAGCAAGTGAGGACTGGCTGATCCCTGTGTGCAAGGCGTTACAATAGTCCAGCCGAGTTGTAACAAAAGCGTGAATTAAATTTTCAAAATTCTGTCTTGAAAAGGAGGACTTTATTTTAGCAAGTTGCCTTAAATGGAAGAAACTAGACTTCACTACTGCACTTATTTGTTTATCAAATCAGCATCCATTTTCACTCCAAGGTTTGAAACTATGGGCTTAACAAATTGTGTTAGAGGTCCCAGGTCCACGGAGCTACTGCTGCCATTGCTGGGCCCGACCAGCAGAACTTCACTCTTTTTTTCATTGAAATGCAACAAGTTTGCTGCCATCCACATTTTGATTTCAGATATGCACTTGAGAAGTTCGGTGCTGCAAAAGTTATTGCTACGCTTAAGGGGCACATAGATTTGGCTGTCATCTGCGTACAGGTGGAATGACACCCCAAACCTCCGGAGGATAGTTCCTAATGGCAACAGATATAACGAAAAGAGGAGTGGCCCAAGGATGGACCCTTGCGGCACCCCACACGACCAGTAGTATGTGTTCACGGAGATGCGCAATACGTTTATTTTATTATTGAACAGTACTTCCGCTTTGGCGAACACACTCGAAGCAGTTGCATAAAGTCACGGGAGCATGAAAACTCACATGTTAACAAGCACTATATCCCCCATTGTCAACCCTGGTTTAGTCCTGATGTAGCTCCTGTTTTGGCTGTTTTCGAGTATTTTCAGTCTGCTCGCCAATGTCCCCGTGACCACTTTGCGGCTCTCTGATTGGTTGCTGCACGAACGTCCCGAGGAAAGGTTGAGCAAAATCCTGCATTCCTCCCCTTTGACTTCACAGCGCAGTCCGTGTGTGCATTCCGAGACGTTCGTGCGTTTTGACGCTCGAACGCGCGTCAATATTGACTTTGCGTTGAAAGCCGACGTAACGCATGATCCGGTCTGAACACGGCAATAGATATGACACATACCATCATGTTTTAGACTTCAGAACCACAGACACACGTTCAGAATAAAACTTTAGAACCACAGACTCATGTTCAGTATATGACTTTAGAACCACAGACACCCGTTCAGAATAAGACCATATATGTTTGGATTTGATTGAAGACACTCACCATTTCTCTCAAACTCAACATCTGGAGCTGCGACATAGAGTTGAGGCTTCTCTCTCGGAGTTACGGGTATTGACGTGTTAGCTGGTGTTAGCGTGTTAGCTGATGTCCGTAAAAATGGCGTCAATCCATCTTGTCAAACCACCTCCAGACTTTTCAGTTCTGTCCACTTTTACGGCTGGGATCTTTCATTTCACGGTAGTCACTTTTACGCGTCCTAACCTTTCTCTGCACTACGATGTCCCTGATGTACTTCTTCGTCCCTAGCACTACCTCGCTAACACTTAAGCTATTTACACTCTCTCGGGTGCACCATCAAGCTCAAACTGACCGCATCCACAAAGTGGGTCGAGACCGGTCGGACCATGACATGACTCCGGCCCGTGGACACGGCCCTAATGTCCGCAAATGTCCATTTCTTGCAGATTGCTCCTCATCTGA